AGGGTAATTACCCATTGTGATGCTAAGTATGATGGGATCGCAGTCGTTAGCGACACTGTGGACACTAGGCTTGATCGGACCATCCTGTCGATTGAAGATTGGATCCGTATTTCTATCCGACTACAGGTTCACAATAATTATTAATAAAAACAACAGACACAATTTGTTGAGATAATGAATTAGTTTATGCATTTCAAATATTCAATCAGAAGAAAACAACAACAAAGTAAGCACTAGATCATACAAAACTTTTTAACACCCTAAACATTTATGAAACGTGTAATGCTACGCCTTGACATAATATTCCAGCACTAAGGAGTCCATGAACATTTTCTTCTGAGAAACTACGAATTGCGAATCATTAATGAAATTAAATGTTTTTCCCCCACAATATTCTGATATTCTGAACATTCTAAACATATCATGATTATTAATCAGTTTATATTAGTCCTGCTTTCTGGAAGCCACGTACGATCACATCTCGCTACCCCGTTATCTATGGAATACCTAGCGATCTTTGCCCTCGTTTCATCATCATATGTCTGATATTCTGCACGTTTACGTTTACGACCACTGGTGATTATTGGTTCCGTTTCATCATTCGCGGCTTGGTATGTTAGGGCTTGTTCCCTGCTGGGTGCTTCTGAAGGGTTGGGTAGCCCAGGAAAGTCAGGCTTTCGCAGATTCAATTTCCCGGATTTTAACCACTGTGTTAACGACATGATGGATAAGATACATAATGATATGTTCATCACTGTGATTTCTTTATACTATCGACAGTGAGTTGTGTTTTTACTTCATAATTGTTTCTGCAGATCTTGTTTACACACCTGTTTACACACATGGTCCAATCGATACGCGTGGTGTTTTCGTATGACTGCGGTACACCGACTGATCAGCACACAATGTTTATCCACTGAAAACAATTGTTTCTGATAATTACCGATTGATTACACGCCAGGATATATACTGATTTGTGGTTTGATATTAATGCGAGACTGTTGTAAACAGAAACCAGCGTTATAAAAACACAGGATGCCATCTTGAAAAAAACGTTCTTTTATTCTTGTCATCAGTGTTAATTCCTGTGAACATAGCCTTAATACAAACAGAAAAAATTTCGACTGGAAGCAAAAAGAGAAAATTCTAACGTTTTTATTTTTTTCCCACAGAATCAAAAATCCACGAATTTATGAGTCCACGAAACTGTCTAATTTGTAGAAACAACGAAAATTGAACCCAACGAAAATAAATGAATCCACAGTAATTCAGATAAATGCAGTTTCTTTTACTTTGGCAAATTGGGTCATTTCTCTTGGAAAAATTGAAGGTTGGGTTAAAAAAACATGAAAAACTGACAAGTAAATTGATATCCTCTCCAAACTTATATTTTGTGACTTTGATTACACCCTATTGGAAAACAATATGATGTGACTCTGATATCAGCCTGCATCATTGTAACAACTTGTGCTTTCCTAAATTACATTTAAATTTTAAATATGTTGTGTCATTCTGTATTTAGAGCCACTCCTGACAGTGATCCCAAAAATGATTTCACAAATAAGCCAGATTTGCACACATCTTATTCATAAATTGTACACTTGTAAGAACCTTAAATGTGGTAAAAATACTCAGTTCCAAACCAGTGGGAAAAAAGGCCCTGATTCATCTATAGTAAAAGTGGATTTCTTTCTGATACAGCTGCAAAGAGATCCTGATTTCCTATCACTTCTGTGCTTTTTATTCTACCTGTTACCTTTCTCTTCTACACTTAAGTTTGCCTGTTTAATATGTCAAATTTAAATTATTTTTATGCCCCACATTGAAAGATAGGGGACATGTTTATATGATGTTTGTCTGCTGTCAATTTAAACCTTGCCTTTCATTAGTGAACCGTAGAAGGTAGGGGCTTTCATATTTTTGGTATGTGTGTTCCTTGTGACACGACCTTTCTGGTCGTACCAAAAATTTTGACCATGTGACCTCGACCTTTGACCTACATTTGAAAATGAAAAAAAAAATATTACCACTATGAAGACATAAGTGTTTCAGAAGTGTGCATGCAATTAGCACATATGTTACACAATACAGTTTTAATGCCCCACTTCAGAATTTGTTGTAACTGGGTGCATAGTGTTTCATAAAAATGTCTTGTTTCCATTTGAACAACCTTCTATTCTTTAACCAGTGGGCCAAATGTCATGGTACGGTAGATTTGCGCACTTTTTTGGGCAAAGACTGTAGCGTCAAAAAGGGGTTGCAAATTATACGCAGGAACATGCCACTCTAGGGGTTATCATTCTCAATTCTCTGTCCATAATATTGGATTACCTCCCTTCACATAGTTATATTTAGAGTTGTCGGTCATATATGATAGATTGAACATGAAAACAAGAAAAAAATAAATTTTGAATGTTTTAATGCAATTCATTATTTATATATATATATATATAAAAAAACCAACTTACAACTGATAAATCCATAGAGCACTAAGAAGGAAGCAATTCATAGTTCTGTTGTTACTTTTCACTAAACAGTCACTGATTACTTTTGTTACTATGCACTAAATAAACACAGTCACTGAAATCCTTCAAATTCCTCCTCATCATTGTCACTGTTATAGAAGAACTCCAGTTCAAAGTCTTAATTGTCCTCCATGTCAACATCAACAGCAGGTCCACTTTCATCCCATCCCATTGGTGCTTTAAAGTTGGTGACATGATATCTCTGGATCTGCATGGTCCTCATGTGCAGTTTTTCGTACTGACAGCAATGCCAGCATCTCGGAGATTGCATACAAAATTATACAGCTCTCTTCATCCCTTTCTGGTTAAGGGTTGGGACGGAAGGCATTCTTTTTTCTTCCATGTTCGAATCTTGGATTCTGTGATGTCAAAGTAGGTTGGTCTTTCAGCATAGTCAATGGCGGATAGTTTCTTTTTGGCTGTAAATGATGTTCAATATTTATATTACATAAACCCCAATAAATTACCTTCACACTTTACTCAAGTGTGCACTATACCCGCAAATTAAGGGTATTTGAAGTTTTTTAATTTCAAAGAAAAAGAAAGAACAGAAATGGCATTTACCTATTATCTAGGGCCTTAACTGTCACTATTTAGAGTGGAGTGTTATAGGCTTAAATTTGTTTTGGAAATTAGTCAAGAATTGATCAGATATGCCCAGTTTGAATGCCAGTGGTGTGTGTGTTAGTGTATTTGTGATGAACATCAATTTTATTTTTGATCGACTTTGAATACCAGGTGAATGATGCAGGCTCCTTCTGGTATATTAACCTGTCTGATGATGTAGGCAAATGATTTAGTTATTATTGTATATTCATAATGTTGACAGGGTAATTGTGGACAAAATAGATGAAAACAAAGATGGGAAAGTGACAGAGGAGGAACTGAAGAACTGGATTCAATTCATCCAAAGACGCTATATCGTCACAGACACTGAGCGCATGTGGAAGGAACATGATCTTGATGGGGATAAACTACATTGGAAGTCTTATATGAAGAGGACATATGGATACGAAGATAGTATGTGTCTGTTCTTTAGTTAAGTGATACAAGATGACCCTCTTTAAAAACTGACCATTTAAGATGTAAATGGTATTACAAAGAAGAAAACAAACCAAAACTGTAGAACTGTTGTTGTTTTTTTTTTTTTTTGAAGAATTTTATTGTTACGTTTTCCTTACCTTTTGATCTGACTGCTTGCGTCATCAAGTGCAGCATTTGCGGTGTCCATTTCTTGACACGCATGCCAAAAAAATGGCATATCAGTTTTTTTCTTTCCATTTTTGTGGATGGGTGCCTATTCTAGTTGTGCCATCAAAGCAACTGGGTTTTGAATGTGAAAATGTCATATGAAAGGTTTTTGTCTTTATATTTGCGCCCAAAATATGTTGACACCAGTTTTTGTGGGTGTGCATTTACGTAATTGATATGTTACAAGGTGTAAGTGGAGCAGACATGATTCAGAAACATTCCAAACAATTCAAATTCAAATTTTGACTTTTTCTTCATTGCTTATTCTCAGTTATAAAAAGACTGAAGCTATGATAAGTTTGCTTCCCTTTCATTTTAGGCCCAGACAATGTTGATTCTCCGACCTTTAGCTACAAAGATACAATTGAGAGAGATCATCGTCGATGGGAGGCAGCTGATACTGACAAGGATACTAAGCTAAGCAAAGACGAATTTGTTCACTTTCTCCATCCTGAAGATTCCGATCATATGAGGGATGTTGTTGTACAGGTAAGCTACTTTTTTGTGGATGAAAAAAAAATTGGCTAGATGAAAAAAGGGGCAGCTGGTCTGCAGTTTTATTATCTGTCATTATTGTGCCATTATTGTGTACTGAAACAGATCCTCTAGGACCATCATTTGCAGTCATATACAGGATGATTTGAAGATTGATATAAAAATAGCGTTCTTGTGGATTTAATTTATGATACCTTTTAATATGAACCACAATAATATCTTCTAGACTTTCTTGGTTACTTCAAAGCCATAGCAGAAGTTTACAGTAGCTTTTTGCATCCTGGGATCGATAGGTCATCAGATTATAGGTCAAATTCTAAAACAACCACCATGCTTGTTTATGATATGAATGGCTTCGTGTGACTTGCAAGAAGAAATAACATGGGACTGTAAAAATTTGGTCAGCATGCAAGGGCCTGAGTTAATATTTGACAATGCAGACACCTATGGAGACATTGTTAAGTAAACCATTTGTAACGTCAGGCCTATATCTGTACATAGACAATCTTTAAAGGCACCCAAGTCAAACAACTTCAATATTTTACATTTTTTCCAACTATATCAAAAGGATTATCTGTGTATAATTCATTTGCAAAATTTATTAAATGTTTCGCCGACAATCTTGATAAATGGCCTTCTGTTATCACCATATCATAAGAAAAGATGTGACTTATATTGTGATCCGCCCTATTTGTGGATCAAATTGAGAAGAAAAAAGATAAAATTGGCTCTGCGACTTATATACAGGTGCGGCTTATAACCTGAAAAATATGGTACATTTCTGCCGTAGACTTATTAACCATTCAGCCTTCACACTACCCAGTTATCATTTCCTGCATAGTGGTATTTACACATTTTTTTAACCTCATTATAGTACTGATAATACTGAAATATTGTTTTTTCATTACAGGAAACAATAGAAGATATTGACAAAGATAAAGATGGGTTCATCAGCTTAGACGAATACATCAGTAAGTGATTCTACAGAGATGTTGATGTTAATACTCCAGGCAAATATAAAACGTTTTATGCAGCTTGGGGGATGTAATATTTTTTCACCTACTGGGGAGGTGGGGAACCATCTGTCCATTTGTCCATGCCTCTGTGTTTGTCAGGGCTCTAGTGACTTCCTCCTAGAGATATTTTCATCAAACTTCACACACTTATAAATCATTATATCATCTTGGACATATCAGCGGTTCAGGGTTGTTGGGGCAAGGTCATTGCTACTATTTTTAGAGCATCAGCACTCTAGCCACTTTATTTCTCTGAAGACTGTCATCAAACTTCACACGCTTTTAAAGCACTGAAATGTCTTGATCAAGGTCAAGTTTCAGGGTGTGAAGGTCAAGGTAAAGGTATTTCCTTATTTTCAGGTTGTCTTACTTATTTATTGCATTGTTCCATTATAATCAGCTTCAAACTAATTGTATAATTTTCTTTTTTTCCAAACCAACACTAAATAGCACCAGCTTAGTAGCTTGTGGTGCCTTGTGTAAATTTTGTCAAATTTTTCAATGGAAAATTATATCCTTCATGTTAGGAATTTTGTTATCTATGTTGTTCTGATTCTCCTGATAATCATTGGCAACAATTTGTAAATTTGGTTTTCTGTTATCATTATATGTCCGTGTCTTTATTATTAGGTGGCACCATTCCTTTCCTACAGATACTGCTGTCTAGATGATAGATTGTATACATTGAAGAAATTGTAAATCAAGATTGCATGTATTAAAGAAACTGTAAACCGAGACTAAGTGAGAACCTGATGTCACAGTGTACATCTCCTCTATACGATCAATCTCAGATAGCAGAAACATTTAAATAAAGCTGTATGCCAGACTGATCAGCTTTTCCTCTATAAGCAAGTCTTCCCTCAATACAGGCCTACTGACAGTAATTCATTTTGAAATCATTGATGTGTTCTTTTAACCAAATGGTAATCAATTTTGTAAAAGTACAGCCTCTTTGTAAAAGTACAGCCTCTTTGTAAAAGTACAGCCTCTTTGTAAAAATACAGCCTCTTTGTAAAAGTACAGCCTCTTTGTAAAAGTACAGCCTCTTTGTAAAAATACAGCCTCTTTGTAAAAGTACAGCCTCTTTGTAAAAGTACAGCCTCTTTGTAAAAGTACAGCCTCTTTGTAAAAATACAGCCTCTTTGTAAAAATACAGCCTCTTTGTAAAAGTACAGCCTCTTTGTAAAAGTACAGCCTCTTTGTAAAAGTACAGCCTCTTTGTAAAAGTACAGCCTCTTTGTAAAAATACAGCCTCTTTGTAAAAGTACAGCCTCTTTGTAAAAGTACAGCCTCTTTATATACCAAAAACCTCGTAATCATTCTTTACCTACCATTTCTGAGTTATGATTGATGCTCATTTTGGTTAAAATTGAAAAGGAATCAACGTGACAACAAGAACTAAAATTAATTTCTTTAATCAGGATAACATGTTATTACGATTAATTGTTGCCATGTTAGGCGATGTTTATGATGAAGATGACGAAGATGATGAACATGACGAAGCCCCGCATGATGGGGAACCTGATTGGGTGGTCAGTGAGCGGCAACAGTTTCAGAGTCATCGTGACCGTAATGGTGATGGAAAACTGGACAATGACGAGGTCAAAGAATGGATAATGCCAGAGGATTTTGACCATAGTGGTGCTGAGGCCACACATCTAGTCAACTCCGCTGATGACAATAGGGTTAGTTAGTCACGCATTTCAATACTTATCACCTCTGCTTTACTAATTAACCTTTGACCTTTGTAGGAGACATGTATCCAAATGAAAATGGGGAGGAAGAACCAGAATGGGTTAAGTCTGAGAGGACACAGTTTGAACAATATCGCGATATAGATAAGGACGGCAAGATGGATAATGAGGAAGTTAAATCCTGGATTGTGCCCCCTGATTATGATCATTCGGATGCTGAGGCAAAACATTTGATATACGAGGCTGACTCCGATAAGGTTGGTACACAACCTGCATCAGCGGATTGTTGTTTTCCTCATTACGTTTTAAAAAAAATGGGACAAGTTATTATTTCTGCAATACATTCAAAAATTTCTGTGTACATGTGTTGTACCATTTTCTGTATTGGAACATCTAATCTTATTCTTTATACGCATGCTTGGTTCTGGGTTTTCAAGTTGACTATTCCGAACTTCCTCCCAATTCTCATTCCCTGTACCGTATTGTTTATGTTTTTACAAAATATTTTGAAAATATTAAGATTTATTTACTTAATATGCTTTTGTCTATAGGCTTTTTTTGTTTAATTTGACGCAGCTATCATTTGCATAGGAAGTTAAAAAAAAAAACTGTTCAAGACATAGCATTGGAGTACCTATAGTTGGTGTTCCAGATTGAATCCACTCACAATTTTGAATAAAATATGAAGAAAATGAGATCCAACGTCCCGTGGGCATTTTGTTAATTTTCAGTAATCTTTCTAGGATGGACTCTTAAGGAATACACAAGTCTGGTACTAGTAACATATAAACAATAAATATAGACAACATCCACGGAAAATCTTCACCAGGTTTTAATGGTCCTCAGAACATAAAAGCCTGGAAAAGATCTCCCTTGGGATGTTGTCTGATGTTATCTTCACCAGGTTTTAATGGTCCTGGAAAAGATCTCCCTTGGGATGTTGTCTGATGTTATCTTCACCAGGTTTTAATGGTCCTGGAAAAGATCTCCCTTGGGATGTTGTCTGATGTTATCTTCACCAGGTTTTAATGGTCCTGGAAAAGATCTCCCTTGGGATGTTGTCTGATGTTATCTTCACCAGGTTTTAATGGTCCTGGAAAAGATCTCCCTTGGGATGTTGTCTGATGTTATCTTCACCAGGTTTTAATGGTCCTGGAAAAGATCTCCCTTGGGATGTTGTCTGATGTTATCTTCACCAGGTTTTAATGGTCCTGGAAAAGATCTCCCTTGGGATGTTGTCTGATGTTATCTTCACCAGGTTTTAATGGTCCTGGAAAAGATCTCCCTTGGGATGTTGTCTGATGTTATCTTCACCAGGTTTTAATGGTCCTGGAAAAGATCTCCCTTGGGATGTTGTCTGATGTTATCTTCACCAGGTTTTAATGGTCCTGGAGAAGATCTCCCTTGGGATGTTGTCTGATGTTATCTTCACCAGGTTTTAATGGTCCTGGAGAAGATCTCCCTTGGGATGTTGTCTGATGTTATCTTCACCAGGTTTTAATGTTTTGGCATACTAGGTATGCCGTCCTCAGAAGATTAAAGCCTGGAGAAGATCTCCCTCGGATGTTGTCTGGTCATTTATACTTATAATTTTGAATAAAGTGTATCATTACTTACTCCTTTGACATTTCCTATATAACCCTTATATAGCTGTTACCTTTCAACACTTACCTTTTTATCAGTTTCACCATTACTTACTAACACAGTTTATTTATCAGCTCTCCAGATGTGAGGCAGAGGTTATGTGTTGCTGGGCGTATTACAAAAGAATTATTACTATTCATAAAATGTGGGAATGAAGACTTCTAAACACCCCAAAAACTGTCATTCTCTTTATTGTAATCTTGATGTCGTCATTATTTTTTGAAAATTATGTGGCCATCATTAATTAGGATGAAATTTGTTGACAACATCTAAATCACAAGACTGAAGCTAAAAGTTTGTGAATGTTCAGAAGGCCTTCATTTTATGTTCACATTGGTAGGACCTCAAGTAGCCATCCAAGAACATACTGCTATTTGAAACAATTGGAGTGTTGGTTTTCCTATTTCTTAGTTTCTGATATATGGCTATTGTGATTTTATGTTCCAAAGAAAATAAGAATGTCTGCTTCATCAGATAATCGATATCTATCGTAAATGGTTACTATTCAAATCAGATTTGTTTAAACCGTAGAAGTAATGAATAGCAGAAATACTGATGTGCAAATCATGTACAATTTTACCATCCGCCATCGTCTTTTTATGCTTCAAATATAGACTGTATATGATAATAAGCCCATGCATTTGCAGAAGAATGTTATAAAAAGATCAGATACGAGCTATCATGCAAGCCCCTACCACCCACCAGATTAATTCTTAGTGCAATATACCGTTCCTGTTCAGATTTAAGAGGTTTTGAAAGTCACACTTGACTGGTTTTTAAATGAAAAATGGTACTAATAGATACCTCCCAGAGCTCCTCCAAACATACCTCCCAGAGCTCCTCCAAACATACCTCCCAGAGCTCCTCCAAACATACCTCCCAGAGCTCCTCCAAACATTTTACTCTGCATGTACCTTGTAGTACAGTAATATCAATTTCTACACCTTCATAGATTTTGTGGTCATCTTTTGATTTTAAAGTGTCAAAGGTCGCAATTTACCACTGGCTTGTTTCATTGTTGTTTCATTCCTTATTTATACCTTGGAATTTGAGCAATGTGTCATTTCTTTTGTATTTCAGGATGGTGATCTTAGCAAAGAGGAGATTCTAGAACATTATGACTTATTTGTTGGGAGTCAAGCTACAGACTTTGGTGAGGCTTTGACCAGACATGATGAGTTTTGAAGCTAGTCCTGACTTTAGAGACTTAGCTTTGTGTGATTTTGACAGAACAATTGATGATAAAAGCATGTGGAGAAGATGAGATTGTTTCATTTTCTCAAAAAGAAAGAAAAAAAATGGAATCAATGCCATGATTTCACACCTTCAGATTCAGCATTATTGGCAGTGAAGCAAGATATTTTAAATAATTTTGAAGTTTAAGATGACGTTTTCAGGCATGTTGTTTGAAGTCCTTTGAGTCCATCCATTTATCCAGTTCAAATTCTGATCATAATGATTTCTTTGTGAAAACATCTTATAGAATTGTAGTTTGTTGATCAGTATTCAGTACCATGATGGTCTGGCTATGTATGAGACTCTCAAACCATATGGAATCTCTTCAGAACTAAAATTTTGTTTATTTTTTAGTCTTTTACACAGCACAAATAATGCTTTGAAAGGCATAAAGGTTTCGTTATGAGATTATTTGGCTATAAAACCGTTGCTAAGGTCGGATATCAGACTTCATAGAAATTACACCAAAGATTTTGTGGATATTTATTGCATAATGATTGGCTTTATTGTCAAAATAATAAGATGTATATACAACATTGAACTAGTATACAATTTTGTCCTATGTTATTATTGTTTCATGTTGATATGAGAATTCAGCATTTTCCAGTATTGATGATTCAATATTTCATGAAGCATGATCAGAAAGGACTCAAACAGTGTGTCTTTTTGATGAATTTATCAATTTGCAAACGACACCTGAAAGTGAAGTATACGGCTGAGAAGAACTAAGCTGTAAAACGGTTGTATATATAATCACAAATGTTCATGTAAGAATTGGCCCATCTTAATCGTGAAGATCATACTGAAAGGAAAAAATCAATACTAAAAGTCCATATTTCTTTCTCAATCTAGCTGTTTTCTAAAACTGCCACAGAAAGAAGACAAGTTCAAATGTAAGAATGATAGAAAATTCATTGTATTTTTTGGTTTTGCCTGTGATGGTTATTATGATAGAAGCATGATATACTAAACATCATTTGCATTTATAAATGTATAACTGTCATCTAGTATTTATTTCATGTATATCTTTGGCAAGATTTCACTGGAGTTCATGTATTTGGTGCTTAACTGAGTTTATACAGTAAGGGAAGAAACCACCTTCTTTGATATTGGTGGAATACTGAATTGACTTCCACATTTTATCATTCAATCACATACAGAGATAAAGAACTGTATGTATATACATGTATAACCAAAGTATCTCACCAGTTTACAGATAGTCACAATTATTAAAATGATATTTACTCTGAGTGGGTGTTGCAGGGAAGTGAAATAATGTTTGAGCATTAAGTGTATGAATGTGTTAGAATTTATATTTTTTCATTTCTTGTATAACACCGTTAATTTGGACACTCATATTTTCTGGAAAAAATGTGGAAGTAGGGAGTTTTTAGCTCACCTGGTCCGAGGAACCAGTGAACTTATGCCATGGTTCAGTATCAGTCGGGTGTTCAGCATCGGGCGTCTGTTAACTTTTTACTTAAAATCACTATTAGTCATGAATAATTTGACCATTTGAAATGGAGAACATTCTTTAAAATTTGACTCCTTCGATACTTGGGTATATAAACTATGAATCCCTGCCCTCCAGGCTGGAAGAATGGGGCCCAATAGTTCTTAAAAATTCTTCTTCTGTACAAGGATATTGTCCATGTTTGGTCTGAAGAAATTTTTATGAATAGTGAATCACTTCTGTTTGACCACAAGGCTGGTATCCAATAGGGAAATTGTATGAGAAATTATTTGTTATATTTGAAATTCTTTATTCAATGACTGAACAGCTAAATTAAGAAGGTGAATGATGCAGGCCCCTTGGACCACTTGTTTGAATTAATGTATAAAACAGGAATTGTTGTTTAAAGATATCTTGTAATCCAATTATAAACTTGAAATGATTTTTTTTAACCAAATTGAGAGTAATATCGATTTGTGTTATGCTTCACCAATGTCTTCAGTCAGATTACCAGAAGGTTCTAAGAATTGTTGAATGTTCTAACTTGGCATAATTTTTAATACAAATATCAATTATTTTTGTTTTTATGTTTTAGAATTGGAATTAAGAAACATCACAAATTTGACTAAATCTATTATAATGATGTCAGTTATGAAATATGAAATTTAAAACCATCACTAATTTTATTAGATACAATATAATCAGCTTTCTGATGTTGTGAATTAATTTGAAGTGTTTCAAGACCTGATGGAAAAACATGGATACTGTATGCTGTTTTTGGACATAGCATCTCATATGCAGAGTATGCATTGTTTGATTCTATAAAGAAACTATTGTACAGTAATATGTAGAGTGAAGTATATTAGTAAAAACTGAAAGTCTAATTATATTTGAAAATGTTAGCAAAGTTTACTTGTAGTTCTGATTGTCTGTGTTCACTTTTAGGTCTGAATTTGTCATTTGTCCATAAGTTAACCTGTAGTTTTAATGGTGGAAATTGTTCATACACTTTTTACCTATAGTTCTGACCTTGTAGGTTGTCATCAAATTTACCTCTAACTGTAATTATGTAAGTTGTTTAATGACTTGTGATGAAATTGGCTTAATTTATTTAAAACTTGATAGTATATCTGTTGTAAGAAGTGTCCCCATTACTGTGCTATATTAGATTCATTACCCCTATAACACTGCTCTGATTTCTGTAGGTGTTAACCAAGTCTGGCTTTGATTTCTGTGAAGAGTTATGTAATCACTTGGAAGCCAGTTCTGAAAAGTATATATGGTTGTTCATTTTAAGAGGCAATGATTTTTATGCCCTTCCATTCTAAGTTTCAAGTGTAGGTTTAGGGATGGGGTGATACGACATGTAGTATTATTCATTATATCTCATCTTGTCCCAAATTACTTATGGTTAAAGCAGTTTTTCATTTTATCGTGGACATTTGAGGAAGATTTATTCAAAAGCTATATTTGATGAGTATTTTCTAGGTCTAATGCCAAGGTCCAGGTCACGGTTACTATTTATATACAATCGTGTCCTATAAATTTTTCATGGTTACCCTATAATTACTCACTAGTTTAAGACATTTCACCAAATCAAGAAGATGGAAATATTCAATGAATTAAGCAGATTAACAGAAAACACAGATATATAATTCATCCCATTGTTAAGAAATAAAAAAAAAATGATGTATTTTGTGAGATTGAATCATATCACTAGTGGTTAAAGGACAGATTCTGATTTGTCCTAATTAGATTTGATTATCTTTACTGCATGTACTTAGCGTTGTTTCTGGTGTAAAGCAAGCAATTTTTTTAGGATTTCTTGAATTCTTATTTTATTATTTTGGTTGTATAGCAGCCAGTTCAATGAGTTAAGTTGTTAGTATGCATTGTACTTAAACGAGATCAGTCTTTACACAAGATAGAGTACTTGATCAGGATTTCTTATGTCTCCTTCTGTTGAGATCGTGTCTACAAACACTGGAACACAGCTATATCTAGGCTTTAAAATGTCACGTTTCAGTTCAATAAACCTTGGTACTGAGTCAGATGTTATAATCAAAGTAAGTGTTTAAGAGATCTGATATCTAATTTCCCTTACTGATATTGAAATGATCCATCAGTACTTATACTTTTACTTTATTGATCACCATGAAATTTGGTTCTTGTGTGACTGGAAATTTGGCAATGAATCTCTCTAGTCTTCCAATGGATATGAGTGCCTCAGTCATATAAATGTTGTGTGGAGGAGTAAAACTGTTGGTTGATGTATCACCAAGAATTTCAACCCTTCCTAGTCACTGTAGACTGAATGCTTTTGGTATGTTATGATCATATCATAAAAAAGAGTTTATATTTAAACAAAAAAATTGCACTATTGTTAGAAAAGCCATGGTGTCCAAATATTAATTTACTAACTTTACTAACTTATAGTTACACTTAAGGGTTCCCATAACATGTGTCTCTACATGTGTATCTCTCTTTTTTTTTGATAGTTCCACCTGAAAATAGGTTGAAACATCCTTAACAGTTGATGACTTTTTCTTAAACCTGTGTATTATGAAAAGGAGATCACTTTTACAAATTTGATGTTTTAAGAGTGTTCCAGCTGTTTGATGTTTGTGCTAGTTCAGTGCTAGACCTATGTGTATGTGTATTCAGTACTACTTCATTTTTTATGTTATGTAGAACTTTCATAAAAATACTCCATTTGTGTACTTGCAGGGCCATAAATGTCCCTGGTAATAAACTTGCCAGTATGATCAAAGATTCTAAACTCATCTGTATGATTGATAAAATTATTATACGTCTTCACTGTTGACTGTTGCTATTATGTTGCAGGCCACTTAGTGTGATCAATATTCCTTGCCTATTATGTAATTGGGTCAATTTGAAGTAATTACTTATGTTACGGCAGTTTTTTAAATGGATTTGTTTTTGTTTTCCCCCAAGAATTGACTAAATTTCTAGTTCACATCTCAAAATCTTTTGCTGAAACATAGAAAATAAAATGATATAAGAAACTCATTTTGGTTAATAATTGTACAGAAAATGATGTTCCATAATTAGAGCTTGGTTTCTTTTAGAAATATTTTGTACTAGTATCTATAACTGTTGGCTTTACTTTGTCTATCTATGCTGTTTGCTAAACTGTTTGTTCATTTATATTTTTTAAATGATTAAAGATTGTTAAAACATATATTAAACTTCTTGTGCTCTTATTGTTAAGTAAACCTCCAATATCTTAATGTCTGAATCTTAAACATTTTAATGAATTACACAGTTAAAGAAAATATTTACACACGATATGCAGTTTTTCCTTTGACACTTAAGCAGCCATACATGAAAGTAAGATAATTTTTAAAAGGGAAATATTAGTGCAGTCCAATTCCTTTGATGGAAAAAGTGAAGCCACCTGCCCACAACCAAAATTTTCTCACCCCAGATATATTTTTTATTTGTGTGTTTAAATGAATGAATCGGGGTAATAATAATAAAAAAAATGGTGGGAAAAAAGATGCATTCAATAGTCAGAAATTAGTACAATGATCCTTTTTACAAAGGCCTTCCCTAGCCCAACCCTAACTTTCCCCACTCCAGACATATCCTTTTTATATAGTCATCGTGCTTCGTCCGTCGTCATCCGCCGTGCGTCGCCCGTAAACTTTTCATTCAAAAAACTTCTTCTCAAATACTAGAAGGCCCAGGGGGCTAATACTTGGCCCATAGCATGCTGGCATGGAGCCCTACAAAGTTTTATCAAATTAATGACCTTGACCCACTTTCAAGGTCACAGGGGTCAAATATGTTAAAATTTTTAAACAACATCTTCTCAACAACCAAAAGGCTCAGAATGCTGATATTGGGTCTGTAGCATGCTGGGATAAAGGGCTACCAAGTTTGTTCAAATTAATGACCTTGACCCACTTTCAAGGTCACGGGGTCAAATATGTTAAAATATACAAACGACTTCTTCTCAATAAGCAAAAGTCCAAGAGTGCTGATATTGGGCCTGTAGGATGCTTGGAGGAAGGGCTACAAAGTTTGTTCAAATAAATTACCTCGACCCACTTTCTAGGTAACAGGGGTCAAATATGTTAAATTTTTTAAACAACTTCTCTTCAATAAGCAAAAGTCCAAGAATGCTGATATTGGGTCTGTAGCATGCTGGGATAAAGGGCTACCAAGTTTGTTCAAATTAATGACCTTGACCCACTTTCAAGGTCACGGGGTCAAATATGTTAAAATATACAAACGACTTCTTCTCAATAAGCAAAAGTCCAAGAGTGCTGATATTGGGCCTGTAGGATGCTTGGAGGAAGGGCTACAAAGTTTGTTCAAATAAATGACCTCGACCCACTTTCTAGGTAACAGGGGTCAAATATGTTAAAATTTTTAAACCACTTCTCAACAACAAAAAGGCTCAAAATGCTGATAGTGGATCTGTAGCATGCTTGGAGGAAGGGCTACCAAGTTTGTTCAAATGAATGACCTTGACCCGCTTTCAAGGTCACAGGGGTCAAATATGTTAAAATATACAAACGACTTCTCAATAAGCAAAAGTCCAAGAGTGCTGATATTGGGCCTGTAGGATGCTTGGAGGGAGGGCTACCAAGTTTGTTCAAATAAATGACCTCGACCCACTTTCTAGGTCACAGGGGTCAAATATGTTAAAATTTTTAAACAACTTCTAAACAACCAAAAGGCTCAAAATGCTGATATTGGGTCTGTAGGATGCTGGGATGAAGGGCTACCAAGTTTTTTCAAATGAATGGCCTTGACCCACTTTCAAGGTCACAGGGGTCAAATATATTAAAATATACAAACGACTTCTTCTCAATAAGCAAAAGTCCAAGAGTGCTGATAATGGACCTGTAGGATACATGGATGACATGCTACCAAGTTTGTTCAAATGAATTACCTCGACCCACTTTCTAGGTCACAGGGGTCAAATATGTTAAAATATACAAACAACTTCTCTTCAATAAGCAAAAGTCCAAGAGTGCTGATAATGGACCTTTAGGATGCTGGGATGACATGCTACTAAATTTGTTCAAATGAATGACCTTGACCCACTTTCAAGGTCACATGGGTTAAATATGTTAAAATCCGCAAATGACTTCTCAATAACCAAAATTATTAGAGTGCTGATATTGGGCCTGTAGGATGCTTTGAGGAAGTGTTACCAAATGTGTTCAAGTGAATGACCTTGACCCACTTTCAAGATCACAGGGTTCAAATATGTTAAAATCTGTAAACGACTTCTTCTCAGTAACCAAAAGGCTCAGAGTGCTGATATTGGGCCTGTAGGATGCTGGGAGGAAGGGCTACCAAGTTTATTCAAATGAATAAAGCCCACTGTTTTAACGGCAGACTCACTGTTGTTAGAATTTGGCTTGCTTTTTGTCAGATGACCGTTAAGGCCCATGGTCCTCTTGTTTGTTATAGTGTGTTTAACTGAATGAATTAAGGTAATGAGGGGAAAATAGTGAAAAAGGTTAGTAATTAAGAAAATAGCGAAATACTTCATAAAATAGAAAGTATATGTTTCAGTTTTATTTGGAACGATAAAAGAGATAAAATTAAGTGTTCTACTTTTAAAAAAATGATTATGAAAATGGCGGATTGGAAATGACAGATATTGAAACTAACATGGGTAAAGAAATTACTCGATCCCGAAATACATCTCCCTGGAAATTACTATTGCTAGATGATCTAGAAAGATACGGCAACTATAATATTCTTGCATATAACATATGACATGATAAAAATAGGAAGAAATTTCAACTCGTTCTGAAGAGATGTATTTTTGGCATGGAGTAATCTCAACAGAGAAGAAAACACTGCAGAATATTATCTTTCACAACCAGTTTGGTTCAATAGTAACATTAAAATAGGAAATGAATTAGTATATTACCCAGCTATGGCAAGGTAAGGGTATCAATAATATGTAAGATTTTGTTCGATAATGTTTTAGTTTAAACATATTTTATTGACAATGACATTGACAATAGGATTAGTCAGTAAGTTTTACCAACTTATGAATGACTTCTCCTACAACATACACATAAACATTTACATAAATATAAATATGATCACGTGGTGACATGAAACTATTATAATAGTCATTTTTATGTAAAATGTATATTTTATTATTTCGATAATGAGGGTAAAGTACTAACTTTTCAGCAGTTTAGGGAACATTTTGATAGTCCACATGTACAAAGAATTAAACTTTATGGTTTGATTTCAGCCATCCCAGGTACATGGAAAAGACTAATTCGTAATTATGGCAGTAATGCTGTTAGAGAAACAGAAAATGTCAGGAACGAGCAAACCAACAAAAATCGTTTGTGCAAAATTTTGTTCCACAATAATTTCTGAAAATGTAAAAGCAATGGAAAAGTGGTCACATGATATTCAAAACTTAAAAATTAACTGGAATAGAATTTATTTAATACCAAGAACATGTACAAATGATGTAATTTTGCAGAATTTTCAATTCAAAATCAAGCATAGAATATTATGTACAAATACATTCCTTTATAAAATCGGTATCAAAGATAGTAAAACATGCAACTTTTGTTTTTTTGAGGACGAAGATATTTATCATACACTTTGGGGTTTTATTCATGTAAACACCATTTAGGGAGAGTGCTCAATTTTACTCGATACAAAATGCAATACTGAATGCACGATTTATCCAATGGACGCCATTTTTGGTTGCTCAAATAATAATAAAAATAATTTAATTATAAATTGTTGCCTTTTAATAATAAGACGATATAGTTAATGGCGATACGCAATTGATAATATAAAGAAAATTGTTAAAAAACACAAAAGAAAAAGTTTGCATAACGTTTTCACAGCTTAGCTGCTCCTCAGTGCAATGTAACTATGCAAAGAATGTATGACGTCATGTGTATTGTCCACTTATTCGTGACGTCATAGATAATGAAGGGGCATACTATTATTAATTAGGTTGTATACACCTATTGAATGCAGTTCAAGTCCGGCTTTAACAGTTTGACAATTTCGTTCTCCTTTTGGACAACCTTTTCAGTTAATCAGTTACTTCAGATAAAGAAAATGAATTGTAATCGCAATCATTAAATTACATTGAAAAGTATATGTCATCAATTTGAAATTGTCATGTCAATATGTGGACCAAAGGGAAATAAAATTATGTATTACAAAAAAAAAACTTCCGCCACACCCTAAAGGGCCTGTTTCCAGTAATGTTAATTCTCCATAGGAGCCTGCCCCCGTATAATTTCTTATCTAGCTCAACTACTGTTTTTTTCTTTTCCGAAAAATAATTTTACACCTTTCCGACACCCAGATTTCATAATTTCAGTGAAAATGTATTTTTATAAAGTTGTCAATTTCAGCATCAAAGACATAAGTTCGTAAATAAAAGAAGGTTATTTCGAAATTGTAATTCGCAACATAGTATAAATTTCTTTTGATTAATATTTCCAAAACATCGTGTTTATTCATAAAACATAAAAAAAAAATATTCTCGGATGAAAATGCACTTGCAGAGACACAATTATGAAGAAAAATGCCATAAATTTGCAATTTTCTCCCGTTATATAGTTTTGGATGCAAATTTCCATCAGAAAATCGGATAGAGCTTTACTTGTTTCATATGTGTACCAAAAATCAGCTAATTCCATGTGGTGGAACGTTCTCATATCGCCGCCTGAATGTGGTTGTAAATTGAAAGAAACGGGGAAATGAGTAACAACCTTGTCTGAAACCCTATTATATAGCTTATTATATACAAACTTTTATATTGAATATCAGAGCGGATATTTTCATGACAGTTTTATGATGTGTAAAAAAAAAAATAAAGTACTGTTTCCCCGTCTCGATCTTGATTACTTGAGAATCATTACGTGTGGAACGTATCAGATATCTCTGGCCCCTGGTTACATCGCCAAACATTTAAGTGATGACGGCGACTATGAGGTGTGGCTTTACCAGCACTCCCCAGACCTTCTCCGATGTCAAATACATTCTCGACACAAAAGCCAAACGAAATATAACGTTTGGATACGGTTCACCGTTTCACCCGATGTTGAGGCCCCAATAAAGGACTACTACTGCCAGTGCCCAGTTGGAGAGAGAACGATGGGAATGTGTGCGCACATCTCCAGTACCTTGTACTACCTTGGGTATTACAGGACGCTGGAAAACCCTC